GACTTCACTGGCACCGATAACACAGACAATGTTATTTCGGCGAGAGGCTTCGAGGGAGAAGAGTGGGGGAGTTCGCCTTGGGCCAACTTCAAGTGCCTTACAGAAGCAGGGGTGTAGGACAAGAGAGCGAAGGGTCAGTACTTCTACTGTGATGAGAAGTATACACTAGATCATCGGTGCAAGGACCGCACACTCCAGGTTATTATGATATGTGATGAGGATGAGACCAACATAGAGGATTTGGTGGAGAAAGCAAAAGAGAAAGGAGAACACCTATACCTTGATGTGGTGGAAGCGTCCCTAATTGAGTGATGAGATTTACTCCAAATTACACCATGAAGGTAAGGGGACATATCAGAGAGTGATCAGTGGTGATTTTGGTGGATAACGGGGCTACCCACAACTTCATATCAAATCTGGTTGTGGACCAGTTGAGATTGATATTGACAAACATAGGGAGCTTTGGAGTCATGATGGGGACGAGGAGAGTGGAACAGAGTAGGGGGATTTGCAGGAGGTTGATGCTGACACTCCATGACATATAAATAGCAAAGGATTTTCTTTCCTTGGAGCTAAGGAGCACAGATGTCATTTTGGGCATGAAGTGGTTGCAGACCTTAGGAGAGACTAAGGTGGACTAGAAGACATTGACCATAAAATTCATGGAGGGAGGGAGGGAGGAAGGTGAAAATCAGGGGGGATCCTAATCTATCCAAAGCCAGTGTTTCTCTTAAGACCTTAGTGAAGACAATCCATAGAGTAAGGAAGGGATTCTTGGTGTTGCTCTAGAGCCTCTAGGGAGGGGAAGGCATGTAGAAAGAGGAGGAGGTTTCAGAGATAGTCCAACCAGTCCTACAACAATTCAGTGAGGTGTTCCAACTATCTCAAGTCCTATCTCTCCCCAAGGGAGCATGAGTATGCTATTAACCTGAAAGAAGGGGTATCCACTATTAGTGTTCGGCCCTACCTGTACCCACATATTCATAATGATGAAATTGAGAGGCTAATCAAGGAATAGTGTCAGGTCTTTCTCCAGCCCTGTGTTGCAGGTGAAGAATAAGGATGGTAGTTGGAGATTTTGTTTAGACTATTGAGCTTTGAATAAGGAAAGTGTTGGATAAGTTTCTTATATCAATCATTGATGAGTTGTCAGATGAGTTGTATGGAGCGGTGATACTCTCCAATATTGATCTAAAATCAGGATACCATCAGATTAGAATGCGGCCCACGGACATCCATAAGACGGCTTTCAGGACTCATTAAGGCTACTACAAGTTCTTAGTGATGCCTTTTGGGCTAACCAATACGACATCTACTCTCCAGCTGTTGTGAACAATGTATTCCAACCCTACCTCCGCAAGTTTTTATTGATTTCTTCGATGACATCTTGGTGTATAAGCAGTCTGAGGCAGTGCATGTGGAACACTTGAGAGTAGTGTTAGTGACATTAAAGGAACATCAGTTTTATGTCAATTTGAAGAAGTGTTCCTTTGCATAGCGAGGGTTGATTATTTGGGATATTTAGCGTCCAAATCAGGAGTAGTTGCATATATTTCCAAGATAAAAGCTATGTTGAAAACTTGGATTTCTAATCCGTTTTCCTAGTCGTGTCGGAGCAGTTAGAGGCGGATCAGTTTAGGGTTGGACCTGAACACGACCCGAAAATCTATTTTGACACCCTATTTTGTACCCTACAAGATAGTTGAATTCATTGGAGCAGTAGCATATCGCCTACAACTTCCACCAACCTCAGTCATCCATCTTGTGTTTCATTTTTCACAGCTGAGGCATGTGATAGGAGATCACAAACCGTCTTCTCTATTCTCGACTTTGACAAAAGACATAAAGATCGTTTTAGAGCCCATGGACATAGAAGGGTGCATCGAGGGGAAATATGAGCACTGGAGATACTAGTCAAATGGAATGACTTATCAAAGCATGAAGCTACATGCGAGCCATACGAGATGATCATGAGCCAATTCTTATCCTTCCACATTGAGGATAAGGTGCATCTTTGGGGTGAGGGGAGTGGAGTATTATACGTAGGGCGCTAGCGACTGGCCCAGCTTGGACCGAATCAAGGGCTGGATTGGGCGGAATTTGGCAGGGAGAAAGAAGGGGGTTCGACCCCCCTTGTGGGGCCTAAGAAAGATATTATTCATTATGTAAGGTGGAGGAATCAAGTGGGAATTATTTAGGAAAAGAGTTCTTATTTTGAATTCAAATTTGAGAGGGAATTAATTAAGAAAGGAGGGTGATTTCAGAGGGAATTAGGAGAGCCTATTTAGGGCTAACTATGTTGTTAGTTTGGTGTCTTGGAATTTATTTTCTATTGTAGTTTTCTTTTAGAGTTTTCTAGCGACATCTAGGATTTTTTGGGAAAACCGATCTACCTCTCAAATAGTAGATTAATTGTATCTTGTGTTGTTTTTTAAGGAGAAGTTAGAAAACAACTATTATTTGTGTTCCTATGCTTTTCATCTCTTTTGTTTGTTGTTTATCTGTGTCCCTACACATCACTTCATTAAAATTTAATTTTATTATTTATTATAGATTAATAGTTTTATAACATTGGAATGCAATGAGCTATTTTAGAAAAGTAATTCACTAATTTAAAGATTGGCTTATGTTTTCTTAAGGTTTTTGGTATCTTAGAACAAAGTTCAAAGTAACGTCCTTGTAAAATTTACATGGAATATTAACTGCGTAGAGCCCAATTTTATCCTTTTTTCCTCTTGTTGTTTGACAAGTAATGTATTGTGAAATAATTCTCACAACATCTCTTTTTAGTATTGGCTAATATATCCATCCTCAATAATAGATAATCCTTTGAAAATCAGCCCAGACTAGGTGATTCGACCTGTTGATTTGGGAACTTGTTGCATGCCCAATCCCATTTGATAGAATTTTAGAATGTTAATTAACTTGCAAACCTGCTCAAACTGTTGAATTGGTGATACCTAATTTAGATGATTGAGAAATATTATAACTCTATTACTAATGATTTAATCATTAAATTGAAGATAATGTTATAAGTAGGGGTGCAAGTGAGCCGAGCCGAGCTTATCGAACTCCTCAAAAATATTATCCTCAGCCCTTGCGAGCCAGCTCGAGCTCGGCTTGTTTATGGGCTCGCAAGCCGAGCTTATCGAGCTCACGAGTCAAATTCGAGCTTGATGAGGCTCGGCTTGTGAGCTCGCAAGCTAGCTTGAATAATTATTAATATTTTTAAAATAATGTTATTTTATTTATTAAATTTAAATATAAAAAATAATAATTAATATTTAAAATATTTAAGAATATAAAAATAAATTAATATTTCATGTTTAAAATTAATAATAAATGTTTAAAATATTTAATAAAAATTTTGAAAAATTAAATATGTTAAATAATTTATAATATTTAAAAAATCCCGTCAAGGCTCGCGAGCTGGTTTGAGCTCGTTTACAGTGGGACCAGCTTGAGATCGAGCTCGCCTTTTGGGCTCGACTAAGCTCGAGTCGAGCTCGAGCTCAAGTTCAAGTTCGAGCCGACTTTTTGACCGACAAGCCGAGCTTGATAAGGCCACTACTCGACTCGTTTACATTTTTAGATATAAGCATATAGCTTCTCCGCGACCTCTGTCCACAATCTTGGGTTTCGCTAGAATGTTGCAAATTCCACAATCAAAATTTCTAAACCTACAGCTCAGTTGGTTCATTCAACCTCCTTAATCCTCAGTTCTACAGTATCTTACTTTCTTCCACTGACCCATTCAGTCGCAATGCCGCACTGTTGTCACACATCCCAAATCACAGTGAGGTAGGATGTTATTTTAGTATGTTTTAAGGTCCCATTTATAACAAAAAAGAAAAATTAAATTGATAATTTCACAAAAATTCTAGTATCCGTCTTCTGTTGAATATATGTATGACTAATAGACGATTGCCAGCTACATCAGGAATTCTAGAATAGAAGGAAACATGGCACTAGCAAATCTTGACTTCAGCCCAAAATTGAAAAGGAAACAAGCAACCACAAATCTTGATTTCCATCCAAATCGAGAAGGAAACAAGAAATTAGCGGCTATCAACATGAAATTAGCTTCAGCAACAGTGCGGTCTCGCCCAAATCAGCAATAACTTCAACAGTGACCAGCAAAAGTAGCATTTCAAAACATTGGCCAGATATGAACATGCAACCATAGGTGTTGAATATGATATAAAAATGAGATAGTCTTTAAACTCGAATCAACATAGAGAATCAAACTAAGGCTTCATTTGAGATGGCTTTCTTACTGCTTCTTAAAATAGTTTTTTAGTACAAAATTAAAGTTTTGCTTGGGACGGCTTTCTTACGGCTTCTTAAAGTAACTTTTAGTAAAAAAAAGAAAAAAAATTTATTCGAAACCTGCTTTAAGAAGCGGTTTAAAATCCATCCCAAACGAAGTCTAAAATTCTTTACGCTAAAAAATTATTTTAAGAAGCAATAAAAAAGACGCCCCAAATGAAATCTAAATCAACATAGACTCTTATAGAACACAATTCACTCTCAATAAGATCATCATTATATGCATGTTACATCACCATAAACGAAAAGGGATAAACTAATATAAAATAAAGCAAATAAACCAATCTCAAAACTCAGAATAACTTTGTTTTCATCTTTGCACTTTTTGAATCAGATGTGAATAAATCTTCTGATTTTGATTACTTTTTGAATCAGACAGTCGAATTTATCTTATTAGCAGAATGTTACAGTAATTGCATGAATTTATATAATGCCATCATGTGAGCTTGCAAATTCTCTCTCTGATGTTTCGTTTGGGACAGCTTTCTTACTGCTTCTTAAAATAATTTTTTTGTAAAAAATTAAAATTTTTGTATCAAAAAGCTGCTTTAAGAAGCAGTAATAAAGCCATTCCAAACGGAGCCTGAATGGTCTATATATCCCATTCTATTTAAACCTTTTATCGCACTATAACATCATAGTTAAGCTAACCATTACATCAAATATTGTAGGCATGGATATCATATCATACTGTGCGAGGGGAGGAAGAATTAATCAGACTGCGCACTCAGTTCGAAGCTGGTTTGTTCCTTTAGACTTCCTCTTATGCCTCGAAACTCAAGAGGAATAATCTTATGAACAGTTGTTTTCTGTTGAATGATTGGTCATCGTGAGTTGTAGGAAATGCTTCTGAATTTATGTCGATGGTTCTTAATCCATAAGGATTAGAACGCGAATATATATCATAATCACTGTGACCTTGTGACGCTGTCTTCATCTTCACAGTTTTTTTCTGTTTTGTATCACCTGAAATTGGTTAGACACTATTTGACCCAACCTGAAATTGGTTAGACACTATTTGACCCAACCTGAATTCAACATGTTTTTAAAATCGGGTCAGATTTGGGTAATTTTTTGAACTCGAATCTGACCCGCTTTAGATCTGGGTCAATCCGACACGACCCACCAATCCAGATCTGAAGCAAATAAATTCTGAAGTTGGAATTCTTGGCAGATTAAATTTTCAGAACTCAAAACAGTAGAGTTCAACCCAGAAAGAATTTAGCGGCTAGAATTCACATGGAGAATAGTATTAAGAAGGCAAGAATTATAAAATTAAAAGTTTACAAAGTACAAAGAAGAAGATATTTGTCATTTTATAAAGTACAAACTTTAAATTATAAAATTAAAATAGTTTATAGCAATTATCAAATTATAACATTTTTTTCAACTGTTATTATTTCTAAAATATCAATTTATCACATATAAATTAGAAACAGTTCATACTTTGCAATAATTATTACAAAACATAAACTGTAAATCAATTAAATGAATTAAAAATCAATTAGAAAAGAATTTACTGCAATTTACCAAATACAAAATAGTTTACAATTTACTTTTTGTTGCTTTGATGAATTAAAAATCAATTTATAAAATACAAAAGAGTTTAAAACAAATCTGAATATGAAAATTATAAATTACACTTTAACTGCTTGAAGAATCTGTCTTCAATTTATAAAATACAGATGAGTTCCCCAAAAAATTGCTTAAAGAAGCTGTCTTCAATGGTCAAAAAGATTTAATTGCAATGAAACAAGTTAAATAGCTATAAAACTTGAATGCATAGCTCATATTATTAGTATAGAAAAGTTATCTTTTTGTGGCAAAAAACCCGCCTCAAAATAAGAAAAATTCATGGCAAAATATAATTTGTGGCAGAATATAATCCAACATAAAAAGTGGCGTCGCAACTTTATTTGTGGAGGAAAAAATCCGCAGCAAAGATTTCCGGCGGATTTATGACAGATTTGTGGCAAAATAGAAATGAGATAAAAAATAGCATTGTAAGTGTTCTTCTTGAGGCTGAGGAGATGTGCACGGTGTGACCACACCGAACGTCCAAACCAAGACTTACAAATGCAAGAGTAGGACTACATAATATTGGAGATTCAAGGAGAATTTTTGGCTGGAGAATACTAGAGAACGGAGGAGAAGAAACCCTAGAGTTTAGACGAAACCAGAAAAGGAGATGAGAGCTGAGAGTGGATACACGACGTAATGAGATGAATAGCGGCCGAGAGTTGAGACTTAAATCCTTAAATCACAGATGCAATCACGCAACCCTAATTAAACCGCACGGGTCAACATTGGGTTCTCTGGTTAATTCGAACCCGACCCGAAATTTTAAATGGGTCAGAATTGTAAACCTGAACCTAACCCATTTTTCAAACAGGTTGACTCTAACCCGAAAATTTCAGGTCGGATTCGAATCGGATTATCATGTCCTGATAATTTTTGACAAACCTAATTTTCATCAGGAATCCTCAAATATATTAAACCATAACATGGGCTTCAAATTTCTTAATCTATGATGAAATAAGGATTTACCACACTAATTGCTGACAATAATTTTCAAGTCTGTTGAATATATGACTAAATAGTACATGCAGCAATTTAGCGCAAGCAAATTTCAGCTTTATACGGAGCAGCTTTTTTAAATAATTTTTATATAGAAAATTTTCTAACTAATTTTTTTATTAAAAAATTACTTTAAAAACAATAAAAACAGTATATCAAGCGAAGCAGTCGGTGCTATTATCTTACGTGTAGCAGTTCAGCCCAATTTTGTGAGATTATCTCATAAGCTGGCATATCTTTGAGCTCAAATTTGATCAACTGCATTTGACCAAGACTTTATGCTTTCATATTTAGTCAACGTTGTTAAAAACACTATTCATATTTCAAAAGTCAAAAGCAAAAAAAAAAAAGACACGCTTTTCAAAGGCTCCAACCACCTGGAATAACTAGTTAGAATTCTTTACTTTTAGTTAGGTCATCTGTCGTTTTCTTATACGAGCGTTTCTCTCTTTGGCTCTCGCAGAAGCCTCTGATTGTGGAGGTCTTAATTGGCAAGGAAGGCTCGGGCTCAATTCGTTAATGAGCTCGTGAGTCGGGTTCGAACAGAATTTCAATTGCTCGTGGAGCGGCTCGTGAAAGGAGGAATGGTGGGGGTGGAAGGCTGAACGATAGGAAGGAAGAGCCGAAGCTGCGTGTCGGATGGGAACTATGTGTGGGATGCGGAATTGTGTGCTAATGGCAGAACCCACGTTCGAAACGAACTTGAAACTGTGTGTGAACCGAATGCGGAAGCCGCTCAATGACCTGCTTGACAACTCTTTTTTGGTGGTGAGTTGAGCTCGAGCTCGACTCGAGTTCAAGCTCGTGATTTGTCTCACGAGTTAAGCCTAATTTGAGCTTGACTGAAATTATTTGCACCCCAAATTATAGCTTATCAAATTCTCTAATTTTTTTTTATTTTTGATCTTCTTAATTGATAATTATGTCAGATATCTATTTTTCGTCAACAGCATCATTAAAAAAATTAACTTTATTTGTGTGTGTGTGTTTTTTTTTTTTTTTGAATGATGTGGAGTTAAATACTATTTTATTTCACACTAAGCATCTTCCAATCTTTCTATTGTATGAAAAAAAAAAATCTCTAAGATATTGCTTATAAAATATTTCGATATGATAAACATTATTGTCACACAAGATTTATAAATACACAAAAAGAAAATCATTAGAGTTTTTTTTTTAGGTTTAGAATTTGCTCTTTCAATTTATTCCCAAATTTAAATATAAGGGCATGGTACTTAATGATTGCATGTGTAACAAGAACTTGTAACAAGAACTTGTATTAAGAGGTTTAGAAGTGATTTTCTATGATATTTATTTATTTTGCTTATGAACTTAATTTTAATAAACCAAAAAAATTGCATTTATTTGAGCTATACTGAATTTCATTTGAAATATTTTCATTTTTTAAATATTATTTATTTTATTATCATTTAAGTAAATGCAAATTTTGTAATAATACCAATTAGCTCTATTATTTATTTTGTTAGGAAAAATTTTTGTCACCTAAATATTATAAACAACAACATCAGCAATATCAAACCTCTATCGAACTATGTGGGGTCAACTACATTAATCTTTTTTTCTCCATTGTGTCATGTTTAAAGTTAAACTCTCATTTAAATATAATAAAGATAGGACATTTTAAATATTTTATAACCAAGTCTTTTTAGGTCTCTCTCTATATTTCTTAACATAAGTTAAATCTAATACATCTACTTTTCTAATCAAGTCATTGGAAGGCCGTCGTTTTATGTGACAAAATCATCTTAGGCGACTCTCTATAATCTTAACTTCCACTGGAGCCACTCCAACCCTTTCACGTATATGTTCAATATCTTATTTCTAAGAGTAAACCCACTCATCCATCCTAGCATCCTAATCTTTGTAATACTTAACTTAATATTATGCTTCTCTTTTAATGGCCAACATTCTGCACCATGAAGCATTACAGGTCTAACCACCATCTTATAGAATTTTCCCTTTAAGTTTGAGGAAGACTTTTCTATCACACAGGGACACAACATTTAAATTATTTTACTATAATAACAACATTTAAATTGTGAGGAACACAATGAATTTATCAAAATTTACTTCATTGTTTCATTTCATTGCCAATAATTTAATTATGATATACTTAAATGCATAAATTTAATTACTTATTTTTTATTAAGTGTTAGATTTGTAAATATATAATAATGAGTTATTTTACATATAATTTTTCCTTGATTTTATTGCCTTTATATATGATCAACAAAAGTAATGGTGGCTTTCACATCTTATAATTACTACTTTGTCCTCTTATTAAAAGCCCTAAATTAATTTAAAAATTGAACATATATCGACTTCTAAATACTTACAAGTTACAACAAAGTTCAAATTATTAAGTTTGTTTATATCTTAAATAGTACAAGTACAAATATGCTAAATTAATCCCTAATTATTTCCCTAATATAAATCCTAAATATTAATTAATTCATAAAAAATAAAAAATAATAAAATTAATTAATTCATTATATATAGATATATATAATTAATTAATTAATTTATATTTTTAGGTAGATTTATATTTATCTTTTCTCATGCTTAAGCTAACCTAAGAGTTAAGCTAAGCTTAAGCTAAACACAAATAAATTAACCATAAGCAACACCAAACTACCTCTGAGAATTTAAAAATATGGGATTAAGAGTTAATTAACTAATCTAATCTCACTCTTATGGATTTAATAAATCTATGGTTTTTGCCTTTTTGGAGCTATTTGTATGTTTTTGGGTTTTTGGAGCTATTAATGAGAAAGGGACTGAAGGATTATAATATTTGATTGAAGTGATAGATTGTAATGGTCGACAACCGCCCTCTTGCCGTCTCCGCCAGGCGCATTAGTTACTCTCTTACTTGCAGAGAAGTAGAAGAAATGGTGAAGGTTGTCGAATTTCAACGTGTCGGTTTCCGATTTCAGCTATTGCTTCTTATAGTTTCTTATTCGAGGGAGCAGAACGAGAAAAGCCCTCCATCCAATTTCGTCATTTGCTGCTCTGCGGGTTGGAACTGAGCAGAGCTACAGGGTTTAGACTTGGGAGATAGGGCTAACTGCTTTCGGGTTATTGGTAGAATGGAGGAGGACCTTGAAGTGGTGACAGGGATTTTTGGTGACGTTCGCGACTTTAGGTGGCGGGGATTTTTGCCAAACGTCTTCAGGTTGATTTCCAGAATGTCTTCTGGAGCTGTAACAGGGATTTTTGCCTTAGGTATGCTAGTTCCAGTTTGTTGTAATGTTTGTTTTCCTCCTCCTCCTCCTCTCTCTCTCTCTCTCTCTCTCTCTCTCTCTCTCTCTGCTGTAGTTGTGAGAATCAAAACATATCTTGTTTCATTTAAATTGCATAATTTGTTTTGACGGAACAATAATTTCTACCTATTTTTAGTTAACATGGTGATGCAACCTTAATCTTTGATATTAACTTTGATGTAGATCTTAAAGGCTAGGTTTCCCTAATGTGACATGATGTAATGCAAAAAAATCACACTCTTAGTTAACAAACCATCAATGCAAGCAAGTATTCTTCTCTCTGTAAAGAATTCTTGAGGCGGGAAGAAGTTTCCTTCTTGAGCTTATTGTGAGAGGAGAGGGAGAGAGCTGAATCAGAACTTTATTGCTTAATCCTCCTCTAATAACAACCTATAGAGCCTATTTAAAGACAGAAAAAGCAACACTAATGGCAATACAAGCCATTCAAGAAAACTAAAGAAATGAACACCTAAAGCTAATAGAAAAAATATAAAAAACCAACTGAACTTGGATCGCAAAAACTCTAACAATCTCCACATTGATCCAACTTCTGTCAAAAACCCTTACAGAACCTCTGAATCAAACCATTCATCTCTTGAATCTGTTGCCACTACCAAGTTAGAGTCATCTTTGAGTTCAACTCTTTGTCATTTCTCTCTATTTGGACAAGTTCTTTTAAAATGTCCCTCTTTGTGGCAAAGATAGCACTTCTTGCTCATTCTCTCTTTTCTAACTTCATATTTGCCCCTAACCAACAACATGCCACCATTCGTTTCCTCATTAATCTCTGATTTCTGTTGAATATCTTTTAACATCAATACTGACTTTATAAAAGTCTGCTTCCCATACAACATTGTATCAACGATGTGTTCATAAGTTTTCGGCAGCGACCTAAGCAAGATGATGCCCTGATCTTCTTCATCATTCTGCATCAACATTCTGCAGATCAAGAATTATCTTGTTGAAGTCATCTATGTGTTTTCGAAGATTCTTTCATTTGAAGGGTATACAATTGCTTCTTCAATATCAGATGATTTGCAAGAGATTTTTTTAAGAATAGTGATTCTAATTTCTCCCATACCTCACTGGCTGTTTTTTTATAGGCAACCTCTCGTAACACCTTGTCACCAAGGGAAAGTAAGACTGTGTTGTGAACCTTCAATTGCATTTCTTTTGCCTTCACCTGATCGGTCAATGTCGCAAATCCATCTTTAGATATTGTCTCCAATAGCCCATGATGGACTAACGATGTCTTTATCTTGATCTGCCATAGGCTGAATCATTTTCTCCAGTGAATATGTCAATCTCGGATCTTTGGACTGACATGATTCTCTCCAACTCGAAGTTGTTTCAATCTGGAAGCTCCACCTCAAAGATCTAGAATGATCTTTATTGCGGGCTAGAATATTCGCAGCGGTAGAGTGAGTAAACTTTTCTTCTTAGCGATGCACGAATATCCAGCACACAAATAGAGAGAGAGAAGTAAAATATCTAATCTTTTTTACGTGGAAAGCCCGAAGAGGGAAAACCACGAGGACTCGCCCAAGTGAAAAGGCTACTAAATTTGAGTGAATTACAAAAGTTGACCCATCTCTTGACTTAGAGGCGGTCAAATTACAATAGTTTGGAGAGTTAGACAAATGTCTAGTGATGTTCGGGCAGATGTCCGATGGCATCTGGGAAGAAGTTTAGCTGATGGGGAATGATCTGACAAAGGTAGGGAGGAAGTCCGGCGACGCTCGACTATCAGGTGGAAGTCTAGAGGCGGTCGACGATCCGGTGGTGAACCGATGAAGGTCGGGCTGAAATCCGGTGGTGGTCGGCGGCCGAGTAGAAGTCTGGCTGAGGCCGGCGGCTGGGTGGAAGTTCGGCTGGGGTCGACGACTCGGTGGTAGTCCAACGACCGCCGGGCAGAATTACAGCGACGGTTGGCACCCGAGTGGAAGTCCGTCTGCAATCGGGTATTGGCGGTGGTTCGACAATGGTTGGGTTGAAGTCCGACGGAGGTTGGTGGCTGGGCGGTGGTTCAACGAAGGTGGAGCTGAAGCCCGGCGACGATTAGCGACCGGATTGAAGTCCAGTGGCAGTCGGCGGCCGGGTGGAACTCTGACGGTGGTTGGCGGCTGTGCGGTGGTTCGACGAAGTTCGGGCTGAAGTCCGGCGGCGGTAGGTGGCCTGGTGGAAGTCCAGCAGCAATCGACGGCCGGGCGAAGGTCTGGTGGAAGTCCGGCAGCGGTCGGTGGCCGAGTGGTGGTCTGACGAAGGTCGGGATGAAGTCTATTGGCGGTCGGGCGGTTATCCGATGATGGTCGAGCTGAAGTCCGGCAGTGCTTGGGCTGAAGTCCTGCGGCAGTCGACGACCGGGCTGAAGTCCAGTCGGCGGTCGAGCGGTGGCCCGACGAAGGTCAGGCTAAAATCCGGCGGCGATTGGCAGCCAGGTGGTGGTCTGAACAACACATTTACCTACTTCTTCGTCTGTATGAACCACACTAACTGATTGATCTTTTGTTCTTCAAATTGCCGTTAAAATCGTCGAAATTCTGTTCTGATATCAATTGTTGTGCAAACAACGAAAATAAAACCAGAATCAAAGCTTAATCATACAAATACACGACGATTTATATGGTTTGGCGAAGATGCCTACGTCTATGGGGAGGGGTTGATTTCAATATTGCGGAGAAACAAATATGATTACAATTGGCTTTCACACTCATACCTCTGCAACAACCCTCAAATTCCTTTAAATAGATTTGAGACAAAACAAATAAGGAAAATTTTCCTAATTTAAGCATCAATTAAATCCCTAATTAATGTAATAATCAGTCCCCTAATTAATACATTAATTACCCATCAAAGATTTTCAAAATAAGGCTTATTTAGATTTGAAAAGATTTCCAAATCAACAAAAGAGAATTAAGGGATGAAGAATAATAACCTAAATATTTTATGGTGGGTTAGTGGATGAGGATAATAACATAAGGATTTTATCTTGATTCTTATGGAAGCACAACAAACTCGCAATCTCATATAAAGGGAGGGAGGGACGATTAACAAGATGGAAGATGGGTTAGAATGGTTGCTTAAAATTCAATTGGAATTGATTTAGTGGTAGAACTAGGGAAGAACTGTTATTGGCTCCCACCCTCCTTGATTAGAGAAAAGCTGTATGTGGCTATGTATAGTATGAAATTCTACTCCTCTTGCAACTATATATATTATAAAATAATTCCTCCAGAATTTTGTATGGGTCCTTCTGTCTCCTCGCACTTGAGATTATAATGCCACCACTGAACTACTCCATTTTAGTAATTTCAAAAAATTTTAGTTGATTCTTATTTGAAATCTTTAGTTTTCAGTGTTTCAAATAGTTTTACTTAGATTGGCAGTCTTCTAAACGTTAGTTTGATGAAGAAATCGGAAGAAGCTTGTTGCAGAGAGAATGAGAAGAGTTAAAAAGGCAAGACAACATTTGCATCCATTCGTCAAAGAAATGAATAGCTAGTTAGACATTGTTTTCACGGCCCATGGTTGTGGCCGTATTAGCTGGTCTTCATTGTTTCATTGTCACCGAAGCCTCGAAAACTTGGGTAAGGAAATCGATAATTAGAACTGCATAGGTGAGAGGTATGTGAAAGAGATTGAAGCTGACAGAACCAAGATGATTTATAGAGAAAAGCAGAAAGTAAACTGCTCGCTCAAATCTGGAGCTCTTTTTTTGGCAGTTTCTCAAGAAGTTATTTTTGTGTATGCTTCCCGTCCTGGAAAAGTGTGATTCAAATTCAACTATGCTTCCATTTCTTTGCTGTACCTACACTATTCATTTTTACCACCTTTGACATCATTAATATAGGTGTTTTTCACTGGTCAGAAAATGTATATAATTCCAGACTTGTGTACTCCATGCTAACTTCATTCATAGGAATTGATGATTTTTCTACAATCTGGGTATTTACAGTTTCCAGGTCATGATCATTTGCATTTTTCCTTAACCCTTCAGCATTTTTTTTATTAATGTTTTAGTTTAACCTTTGTTCTCATTGTTCTTTCTGTTGCGCTTGTTTATTGGTTACCTGCATGTATGATTGCGTGCTGCTTCAAAGCTTCTGTATTTAAGAGCTTTCTCAGTACTGACAAAATCGCACTAACATTGACATTTTTCAATGCTTTATTTGCAGGTGGTACTTTCATGGGAGTACTTAGTGGTGCTTTGGCAGGTCGGGCATCTGACACTGGCATTGTTCGAGGTGCTGCGCTAGGAGCAATTGTGGGAGCTGTTCTTGCTATTGAGGTTCTGGAGGCTTACCATGCTTACCGGCGTGCAGATCAGTCAAGATCTCAAAGCACATATGATGCTAGACGACTCAGGGTTAGATGTTCTAATGCAACTAGTATGATGTGTGGGATGCCTTCATGAATAGTAAAATAGCATATTCATGGATCACTAGTTATCAGTAATACAAACAACTTACTTTAAATGAGAACATGCAATAGTAGTGTTTAAACCAAAATTATAATTCATTGTTTTTCAAATATTATCTTTGTTTAGTGCTTTTACAAAGATAAGTCGCTATTTAAGTTTTAATGAGTCTAATCAAAATCTTTGTAAGTGACATAATCATCATTTTTTGTTAACTAAACTAATCACTTAACTTGCATTTGCAATGTATGTAGAAGGGAAAATGCTCTACTCAAAACATCAACAAGTTTATTATTTGTTCCAGCATAATCTGTAAGGGTAAAAAGGTTATTTTTATAAAAACTCAACTCACGCATGCAAAAAAGAACCTCACAGCGGAAGAGGTGAAAGTTTTTCCTCTTGCAATTGTGGTAGTGGAGATTTGTTCGATGGTATCATAGTGGTGTGGGAGTTGCTAGTTCGGAAGGGGATCAAACTTAATATGAGGGATTAGGTTTGGTTCAAAGGACCTTTACTATGCTGATTGAAAAGGTCGGGACAATATTATTGTAGCTAAAATTAAGGGATTAAAGTGCTTGTATCCCAATTTTCTTTCTTTGGTTTTATTGTTGACCATTATGAAACGACTTATGCTTTAAGGTTTCACCACATCAAATTAGAATTTCAGTGAAAATTGTCAAAAATATTGATTCTCTTCTTATTATCAGAAACAATCAGTTTACTAGTGTTGTTGCATTTCGTTTTACCAGCATGTATGTATCTTTCATCTATTTGCTTATTCACCAATCCAGCTTATTATTTCATTAAAGCTGGGTTGTTTCTATTTTGAATTAATGATTTGATCTTTCTACTACTTGCAGACAGATTTTGTAGAGGAGCTCTTTTATGATAGATTTGTACCACATCAATTTTCCTCGGCTAGGCCAATGGCTTACCATTGGCAGGTGAGAATCGATATGTGCTCATAGCTTTTGCATTTTTAATCATGATAGTATAACTTGAATTCATCCAGCCTGAAATTTTCCATCGATGTCATTCGAGGCTTTCACTTCATGCCGGTTATTTATAAAGTTGGTTTTGAGATGAACTCTTACAAATTTGTTCAGTTCCCTAATTTTATTTTTTATGGCTTTTAACCTTCATTCACATTTAAGTTCTTAATCTACATGCATCAAATTCAGAAACGTAGTTCATTGAGTGTGCTTCTCCAGCACTCAAAGGAGGACATTTGTCTCTTTTAGTTCCTCACCGATTCCCTCTCGGTTCTAGGATTTCTTGGAGAGATTGAAAGTTTTGGTGATGCATATGAGAAGAAGGCTTTGTTTGTGAGGTGATTTTGATTTTTTCAATATATCTTGGGTTTCGACTTATTTGTGCATGGGTGTACTTGGGAATTAGAAAAGAGTTAGCAAGTTCTCTTATTTTGTACACCACAATTATGACTTCTTTGTTAAGTGTATCAGATCCTCTTTAGATCAGGTGCTCTCTCTTCTCCTATGAATGTGAGTTTGATTGAACTACCACATAGATAATGGTGTCTCTTTGTGGTTGTTTCCTCTATTTTGTAATAGTTTGTGGTACTTCATTCTTGGTTATACTGACACAACTGCTTCTGATTTTTTGGCATCCTTGTTACTATAAAATATCATAATAGAGTTTTGAGATCAAATACCATGAAGTTTGAAATTGAAAAGTTTGATCTTTCAAATAGTTTTGGCCTTTGGAAAAAATTGATTATGAATTTTATCTTGGTTCCATTCTTCTATATTTGGCTTGCCAAGCATCTTAACGTAAGTCATTACTATGATTAGGTACGTGATATCTCTGGCGAAGTTGCATCAAAGGGCTTATCAGGGGATCTGTTAATAAAGCTTCCATCTTATGTGATACCTCACAATGAAAGAGATGGCCATGGAGAGAGCATCTGTTGCACCATTTGTCTACAGGTATTATTTGCTCAACAAGCATATTAGTTTTGAGACTTATATATTCTCTTGTTCCATAGGAATATTTACACCATTTTATGAATTCAAAGGGCCCATTTGTTTTCTAGAAGTTACAATATACTTTAAAAAATATAAATTTCTTTGAACTTTAGTTGCTTGAATGTAATTGGAAATCAACATTATATTTAAACACTACAAATACCTTCAAAACTCTCCCACGATGATTTGAATTTTACGCTCACCCCCCTCCCCCAAAAAAAAGGCAAAAAAAAGCCCGAAACGTGCTTCTATCTACAAGGATGCTTCTATCTACAAGGAATCAAAAGAGCTTTTAGGATCCGCTTGAGATGACTATAGCTTTTTATAAAGGTGGTTGCAAAGCTGCTACGATAAAATTAACTTTTTTGAAAGTTGTAAAAAACAGTTTTCTTGCACAAAAATTTATTAAAAACAGCAAAAAAATAATGTCCAAATAAAACTTATTGTTGCAATATGAAAATCAAAGCAATAAAAACTTTGTCCCAAATAAAGGCTTAATCGAAAAAAATAAGTTTTTGTGGATCTCAAAATTTTGTAATTTGTTTTAACATAAATATAATAATAAAGAAATTAATCAAAATTCATATTGAACTGATCTCCAAATAATCTAAAAACTTTAAAGATGCACTTCAAAATTTTGGCCAATATATCCTTTTACCAATTTTTTCCCATTTACCTATTGAATCCATAATGGAAGACGATACTTTGAAGAACTATTTCTGTGCATTTGATACCGAATCATATTTCACTAGCATATAATTATGTGCTGTTCCTTCAGGATATCGTGGGAGGGGAGACTGTAAGGAAATTGCCTCCATGCTTTCATACATTTCACCTCTTGTGTGTGGATAAATGGCTCGCTGCACATAGCTCTTGCCCTTTGTGCAGGCAATGTCTAGCTTTAACTACCAGTGACTGAAGAAACATACAGATGCAATGTTCCATGGTTTGCATTACTCTTTGTATGATAGTGTAAAAATGCTGTAAATATGTTCATCCCATCAATTTTGCTCCATCTTTTTTAAGTTTAGGGTTTAGCGTTTGCGATGGTCTGCAACTGAAAAATCTTCTGAATTGAAGTTAGTGGAGCTATTGTATGGATGGATGAATTATTCTGTGTGGACGTCGAATGCTGTTTGGAGACTAATCAGAATGTGTCCCGTCACCCCTACGCTCGGTATTGTTTGGTACCGCGGCTCGGTATTACTGATGTGGCGTATACTGGTTGGTCTCTGGATGACGTTTTACATCCGGTCTCTGCACACAATAATTTATTGTATGGATGAGTGATGAGTGCTTATAGTTTGCTTTCTTATAGGTTATCAATTGTAAAATTTATTTGATGGGCAAGCTATTTGAACTGGTTAACTATTTGTTTTTCACCTCAAAGTCTGTATGTAATGTTTATTTGTGGCGACAAATAAAATTGAAGAGATGGTTATTACAGTTTTTAGTTCAGCGGCGATCCTGAAATGGAATTAATGGCAGAAATAAGCTAAAAAAAGGAAAAACTGTTAGAATATCATAATCATTAAATAATACTATTAAAATTTTAAATATTCATAGTATTTTTATGTTATTATGATTAAATTTATGAATATTAAATAATTTAATTATATTATTAATAATTTCATATTATTTGTTAAAAGTTTTAATTATATTTATGTGACATTGTATCATATTAAAGATCTATATAATAAAAGTAGTTTCATTATTTTTTCTCTCTCTTATAAAAAAAATAGTTTCATTATGATATAATGTAGGATTTATTTTGCAATCAGCTTGGTCTTAAATATTTAAAATAATATCAACTAGGATAAATTCATTTTTTTGCATGGGTAAAGTTACCTTTCTTAGATTAAGGAAAATATAAGCTAAGTAGAATGTTCATATGAGATATTAATTGAGATATAGGTTTTATTTAAGATTGGTTTTTTTTTACTGCTTCTTCAAAAGCTTTTTTAGTTAAAAAATTAATATTTTTATATAAAAAATTTGTTTTAAATAGTAAAATAGTTGTACCACACAAAGCCTACATTGTGATCAGAAGTATTTTTGATAGACTCAGAAAAATACCGATTGACGAAAAGTAATATTTTTTGACAGTTTTAAAAAGAAATACAACGTTTAGATTTGTGAGCTAGAATAAGATTTTATTTGAGACAGCTTTATTAATGCTTCGAAGTAATTTTTTTGTAGTAAAAAATTATTTTAAGAAGCAACAAAAAAACCGTCCCAAATGAAGCCCAAATAGCTAAAATTGGTGGGGGATTAAGCAATGACTGGTTTCAAAAATATGATTAAATTTTAATAATATGCCTGATAAGATAATGATTAACCTTTTAAAATAAGTAATGCAATATCTGTAGTAATTGAATAGCAGAAGAATTGTGTTAAAAGGCTAAAATTAAGCTCAAAAATATATTTAATATGAGGCTCTTTCAAAATTAGTTTGAAATATAATTTTGAATTTATATTATATTTACTTCAAAGTTAAAAGAAAATTGCAATTCCTGTGTAATAAAAACACTGAAATTATGTTGCCACTGCCAGCAAAAAAAAATTCAAGTAAATTTTTTTCTACATTCAAACATATTATATATACATAAGCTTCTCATTTAAGCGTAGTAATATGTACCTTGGTCTAATTTTGGAGTAAAACTGTGCAGGTCATTTGGATTCCCAAAAGATGATTTCTCCTTGCTCTCCAGACAAGCCCAAATCCTTAAGTCTCCTCTCCTGATAGTATTCGAGAGTATCCAGTTCCGATTCTCGTGCACCAAAAACTTGCTCAATTTGCAGGAGCACCTTCTTCTCCCCTGATCGTATGCCAATAGCAATCTCTGACCTTGGATCCAGTCCTCCCCTTTCCATTAGCTTTTCATCCTACAAATTTTGCGCATTAAACGTAACGAGTTTTTATATCGCTAACACTTAAAACAAGTCTATTTACCTATCTAACACATACATTTCTATTTGCCTATATACCACTTAAAAATCCTAACCCTCATCAAAACTACCACTTTGTTTCCGTCCCGTCAAACCAAAAACTTGATTGTCTGCTACGCCTTCACCTCCTCTTCCTCTCGCTCGGTCGGCACATCAATGCGTTCCACTAGGTATGCTCTTCTCCATCTTGCTATGCCGTTTTGGTGTTCGAATAGCTTCTTTCGCTCGCAATCGGCTTTGGTAAAGTAAAACAATTACATCAATCAGTTACAAAAACATTGCATATGACAAGTTCTTCCTACTCTCTATTTTGTCGCTGATTCTACAGAACCTAGAATATATTACCAAAAAATCCTATTAATATATGTTCTAAAAGTTTGACACTATTTCTACAAGCTCTTCCTCCTCCGATCTATTAATGGCACGCTTCTGCTCTAGGTTGGATAGTAAGTGAATAAAATATCTAAAGAGAAGGAATGTTTGTATAGCCACTGGCTGGAGATGACGCCAAGCGGTTAGATTCGTAAAAGGGAGAAGACGAGCAGCGTGAGATTCACAAACGGTGTGATTCAAACTCAGAGAGGAAGCTAGCTGCTCGAGTTAAAGGTTCTGTTACGCGTGAACCAGCCCAGGAGGGGCCGGCTGGACCCAGTTCAGCCCGGGTCTACACCAGGCGGGGGCGGAAACGCCCAGAGGAGGGGGCGGACAAGGTGGACCCCACTTGAGGCTGATTTAATTATGTGGGAGGGAAATTTTTGAATGCAAAGGACTGTTTAGGTAATTTGTAGGAATCCTTTATTGTTAATTAGGAGGATTAGGAGGGAGAGGGGCTCATCTTGAATTTGAATCATTTTTGAGATCTAGGGTTTGTGTTCTTGGGCTCTAGGCTACGGCTAGAGATTTGGAGAGTTTTTCCTTCCTCTCGAATTGAAGGAAAGTTGTATCTTGCAAGTGCTTTTCATTTCTCATTAAATAAAAGTGTTTGCTTCGTTTCTCTTACGTTTTCTCCTTCGTTTTGATAGGTAAATAGACCTATTTTAATTGTTAGCTATGTAAAAACACTAATCAGTAAAATTGAAGTTGAAGTGGGTGCATAATATGTAAGAAGTTGAAGTTGGATGCATGGCAGAAAACAATTTCAGCCGCACAATCTGTTCTCCAAGGTTTGATGGTTAACAAGTATAAGATACCATACAAACTTACATCATAGGTTTATAGAGAATTAAAGCATAAAGAGAGTGTAAATGCACAAGCTATAGAGATTTATAGTAACTACTGGAAGAATCATCATCGACTTTTCACTGGTGTTGCACACCGTGTTAGTGAGATCATCCTCTTTCTTTTTAAGAGGGTTTTATATTTTATATGATTAAAATTATAATACCAAATCGTATTTTTTCTTATATTGCCCCCCACTTAAAAATAAAATCTAAATTCACCAGCCTCTAGCTACTGTAATATTGAACATTATTTTCTTTATAAAACACAACATATTTAACTTTGGCTTCGTTTGAGATGGCTTTTTTATTGCTTATTGAAGCAACTTTTTAGTATAAAAATTAAAAAAATGTACTAAAAAATTGCTTCAAGAAGCAATAAAAAAACTGTTCCAAACGAGCCTTTGTCAGCAGTGAGCCAAGTAATTTTCGCTATTTTTACAGCACTGGAATGCATGGTTGGCAAAAGTTCCTTGAACTATTACGAAAAGTTTCTTAGTTTACCTCTTCAACTGTTGTTTGATAATAGGAGAGTGCAGAAGTGCAAGAATCTTGAATCACCCGGCAAATCATCTCCTCATTGGCACGGCTTACAGGTAACTCCAGATGACCCCAAACTGTGTTTCTGAAAAGAGACTCCAAGAGGAAGGCATCTGTTCCCCCAAGAGCCACCAGCCGCAGATATGGGAGCATCAATGGTGGAAGGGGACGGTCAAGCACAATATCAAAATATGCAGTTTCCCCTAAGCCATTTGATTCTGCAATATCCAGTTTGTCTCCATAAAATGGATCCGATTCAGAAATCTCTAGTGTCATGGTATAAAGCTCCCGACTTTTGTTGTTTGATTCTATGAAGCCATAGTCAAGGGCCAGCTCCGCATTGCTCTTCTGTAGATCATACTGTATGTAAATCTGACGGGTAGATCATTCATTAGTTTTGATGTAGGTTAAATGCGTTATAGGAATTCAAAACTCTAACAAAAAAAGATTTATTGAATAAAATAATTACATGAAAAAGAATAATGATTGCAAGTAAAGTTGCCTCATTATGCCTTCAGCGATGAAAATGAAAAGCACTGTTATTATGACTCATGCTTCGATTTAGATAATCATAGAATTTTGAATCCTCATGTGATAATTGTTCTATTTAGAGGTGGCAGAAATCGTCAAGATGAGCTTCGGTAAAATTTCCATGGAAATTTTGAATAAAGTATTGTATTAATGTCAAATAAGTGTTATACGTTGGACAAATTCTACTTCAAAACAATAACAACGACATCAAGCCTTTGTCCCACTACGAGGGGTTGGCTACATGAATCCTTTTATTCCATTATGTCCTGTTAAAAGTCAAATTCTCATTTAAATATAATAAAGAAAGATCATTTTTAATATTTTATAACAAAGTCTTTTTAGGTCTACCTCTACTTTTCTTAACATAAGTCAAATCTAATACCTCAACTTTCCTAACCGGGTCATCGGAAGGCCTCCGCTTAATGTGACCAAACCATCTAAGGCGACTCTCTCTAATCTTATCAACCACTAGAGCTACTCCAACCTTTTAACGTATATGCTCATTTCGTATCCTATCTCTAAGGGTAAAGCCACTCATCCACCTATGCATCCTCATCTCTGCAACACTTAACTTAGTATTATGTTTCACTTTTAATGGCCAACATTCAGCACCATAAAGCATTGTAGGTCTCACCACAAATTCTACTTTCATTCAATCAAAATAATGAAAAACGTGAATACCATTAACAGGTTCACCAACAAGCATTCATCTTCACATCTCTATCATCAATGAGTAGAAAAACATAACTAGAAAAATAAAGTGCAGTTTAACTTTACCTGTTCACCAGTATTAACAGATGCAGGGGTACGCAATGAAAATATAAGTTCACGGGAAAATAATCCCTTGCCTTTGATCTCCCAACAAGTGTCTTCAGAAGTAATGCTCGAATTATGGTTAATCTGATCATGCAGATCAAATAATCATCAATGGAACCAAAAGTTTTGAAAGATTATGCCACTGAAGAGGCAAAAAAGATAAGTGTCTAGATATTTTGAAGTATGGAATATTTAGTTGTTCTATTCAATAAGGATGTCTAGGTATGGGTTCTTACAAGATCAGCTAATGGAATTAGAACAAGCTTATCACCACGAAGGCCTGAAAATGCCCTTGATCTCAGTATTCCGAAGGCCCATAGAAAATCAGAAGAATTAATTGTCTTCTGGAAAAGATGCTTGTTAGGAAGTATAACTTCGTCTTCTACTTTGGTGAATTCATTTTGAACGTATTCTTTTACACCAAATGTTGTGTTCAATAGTTGAGTTCCTAGAAAAAGAGATGTGCATCAGTTCATTAAAAAAATTTGACAGATTAAGGACAGAAATAATGTTTAGATCAGAACTACTAAACAACATATTTCAACTTGTTTTGGAAATAATAGATACAGATATATACAATACAATTCAAATTTAAAGTTTTTATAAGCCAGTTCAAGTGAATAAACTGACGAGAAAAACTAAAGTAATAGTCAAAACATGTGAATAATTGAATCTGCTGAAGGCTTCAACATCAGCATTAAAAAATGATTCACAAACATAATGTCTCAAAAATAAAGTTTCAGTGGCGAGAAACTGTACTGATAGAAGATAATTACAAGTATCAAAAAGAATGAAGCAGTAGAAGCCATTTTCAAAAAAGAAATAATGGTATCACATGCTGCAACTTCAAACACTGATACCAACAGGATAACATATCTTTCCATTGCAATAAGTTCATGTACTGCTAAAAAGAAAAATTGCATGCTTGTCACAAACAGCAGGGATCTAGGTTAATTAAGAAAAGTAAGCACAGTATATAACAGATTCACAACGCAAGTGGTCGTGCAAACTTAATTAATTATGACTGTAAATCGTCCACTCAAGATTCCTTTGTAATAGCGGGCAGTTCTTGAGTTACCACAAGCCTTTTCTTTTACCCTTCCTCTCTCAGGAACTTGACAATAATCTAAAACCTTTACAATATCTAATTGTTAGGAGGGTGGAGCACCAGGGTGTCAAATAAAGCCTAATGAGTTAGTAGACGAGCATCCATTAGCCCAAAAGCATACCAATTGATAAATGTCACTACTACTATATTAAAAACTCAACTCTTGTTTCACTTTCAATGTGAACAATTTTATCTTTCACTCTCAGGGAGAGAGTTATTGAGCATAGATTACGGCGTGATACTAATGTTTCTCAAAATCAATTTTGATTCATGTTGGGTAAGTCTACTATGGAAGCTATATATTTATTAAGAGCTTTGATAGAAAAATATAGAGAGAATAATGAGGAGCTACGTATGATATTTATTGATTTAGAGAAAGCATATAATAAAGTTCCAAGAGAAATGCTCTGGAGAGTTCTAAAAAAGGAAGGAATTAATAATGCTTATATTCAAGTCATTAAGAAAATGAAAGCACGAGCTATTACTAGTGTTCAAACACAACATGGTTTGACCAAGTATTTTCCTATATTAGTTGGATTACACATGGATCAGCTTTAAGCCCATATCTTTTTGTCTTAGTCATGGATGTTCTTACTAGACATTTGCAAAAGGATGTACAATGGTGTATGTTTTTGCTAATGATATTCTTATTGTTGATAAGACTATAGAGGGAGTTGAAGAAAACTTGAATTATGAGGTCAATCTTGTAATTTTATAAAAAATAGATCTAGTGGGGAGTTTGTGACTTTGGGTGATCAAGTCATTAAAAAGAGTATACATTTTAGATATCTCCGGTCTATTGTTCAAAGTGATGGTGAAATAAATGAAGATATTAGTAATAGAATTCAAGTTGACTGGTTGAAGTGGATGAATGAATCAAGTCTATTGTGTGACAGAAAAGTGCCACTCAAACTTAAGGAAAAATTCTATAAGATGGTGGTGAGAACTATAATGCTTTATGGCGCAGAATGTTGGTTGTTAAAAGAGAAGCATAAAATTAAGTGTTGCAGAGATGAGGATGCTTAGGTGGATGAGTGGCTTCACTCTTAGAGACATAACGTGAAACGAGTATATACGTGAAAAGGTTGGAGTAACTCCAATGGCAGATACAATTAAAGGGCACCTTAAATGGTTTGGTCACATAAAGTGTAGGCCTTTTGATGACCCAAAGAGGAGAGTAGATGTATTAGATTTGGCCTAAAGAGGACTCAATAGAGAAAAATGATTCATGTAGCCAACCTCACATAGTGGGATAAAGGCTTGATATTGTTGTTGTTGTACTCTCAAGGAATTTGTGGGCTTTTGAAGACAGAATATGCTTTTAAAAGACAGATTAGGACAACATCCCAAATATCTTCCCTAACTAGTGGTGTACTTGACTAGATTTTATTTAATTATGAGGGATCAAGTTTCTCGTGAGTATAAACCTGATAGTAAATCATATCTAAAAAATTCAAAATACTATCAATTAGGGAAGATAATTGGGCTTTAATTGGTGGTTAGAAGTTTAAATTTCTAGGTGTTGGGAAAAGCTTCTAGCTTTTATGCAAAAGTGTTAACCCCTAAATAAAAAATGATGGACCACAAAGAAATCACAAAGAGATCAAGTGCACACATAGAAAACTAAGACTTATATAATACGATTTAAACAATGTCTATGTCCACAGGAGAGGAGAGACGATTTTATCCACTAAATACTCATCAGTCATTCCCAAATTCCAATTATACCCACACTCAGTACATAAGTCCAAAATAATACTCTCACATACAAAGTTACCTCCCACAAACTACTAGCCACTAAGATGAAATTGGCTAGAACCCGTGCTCATGATGCTGGTGAATGTTGAAATCCAACAATTGTTGTGCATTTTTCATTCAATCATATGAAACCTGCATGAGATTCACCCAGTCTTGAACGTTTCTCGATGTTGATAGAAGTAGCTAAGATCCATTGGCACCGCAAATCGTATGGAACGCTTGATCACAGACAAACGACGGACGATGGATTGTCCAGGATCTAGTTTAACCCAATGAATTAATAGATGAACATCCATTAACACGAAATTTTAAGCCAATAGATAAGGGTTTACGATGATATCAGGATTTTTTATTTCACTTCCAATAGCCAACAGGAGCCTATTTTTCATTTCACTCTCACAAGGATCTTACCACTAGTATCTTTATTCCACTTGAAAAGCCAAACCATTGTGCTCGTCTTTACCCCATCTATTCAAAGTCATCCAACAAATGCAGTCATTAGAAAAGCTAAAACCAAATCGAACAACCTAACGAAGATGGTTCAGAGTGTCTCAATCATACAAAAGTACATATAAGATTAATCACACAGGCTCATAAAAGGTTTAGTTATCAACAAGCTACTGGCACTGACCTCGCATCTGGGATAACTCCTCCTCGGACCTGCACTGCAAAATGAAACGACACTCATAAACCCCACAAAATCTCTACAAATCTATATCACTTTCTCCCCTGTTAAACTCTTTCTCACCAGAAAATAGGAGAATCAGTCTCCGGCGGGAGAATATCGAGGTAGGGTCGCCACAAGGATGCAGCGCCCATGGCCTTCTCCCTTAGAAGGAAAAGCGCGATGGCGACCCATGGTTTTAACCCAAGGGTCACAGGACCGATCTCAGAAGCGGCGACGGTGTTGGTATTAATCCAGAGCTTCTTGGGAACCTCCACGACCACTTCGTTCCGCAACATATCACGCTCAGCCACAAGCCCTAGTCCTTCCGGCACGACCGCAGGCCTCACTGGCGGCGGAGGCTGTGTAAGTGTGCCACGCTCGCGGAGCCATCGCCAGAAGTCGGCGATTGCAGATTCAGAGGGAAGGGCGGCAGCGGCTAGTTTAATACCTCTTTGATGCAATTTTGCTGAGGAATGGCGAGAGAAAATGAGGGCGGGGATGGTTGTCGAGGAACGTTGGAAAGATAGAGGAGACGGAGGATGTAAGGAGATGTGGAGCAGCGCCATCGTTAGCTGCTTTGCTTGCTTCGCAGCTATCTTAGATATTAGGGTATGAAAAAAGTAAAAAACTATTTTCCACTTTAAAATGTAAAACGTAAAAATGCCAGTAATTCATTTCCAATTTGATTTCATTTCTTTCTTATTTTCTTCGCTACATGCAAAGATAACAATCTCTTTCTTATTTAACGTTTGTCTTTAGCATCCTAATTTTTTTATCTAGGTGAATAGTCCGACGTTAATATTGAGTCGCATTGTTCACCTACCGAATGTTAGCGTTAGATTTGGAGTTCGAATACAATAAATAGCGAACGACATAATGTGATATACCGTTCAGTTGGAGATGGTCATGGTCCTCATGGATAGAGCGACAAATTTCAGTGCATAACTGGAAAGCTTTTTCGGTGATAAAGTTAGGAACACATATGTAATATATAAAATTTTAATATTTCATTTCTATCAACTATAAATTAAATATGAGTACAAAAAATAAAATATTATAATTTATAGTTGGGGTGTCAATTTTTGACACGACTCGAACCCGACCCGGAAAAATCCGGGTTCAACAAATCAACCCGTTTTAAAAATCGGGTCGGATTCGGGTTGACCCAGCAACCCGAAAATGATCTGAAATTGACACGAAAACTCCTATTTGACTCGGAAACCCGAGATTGATCTGATTTTGACCCGAAAATCAAAGATTGACCCGATTTTTTACCCGAAAAATTGAAATTTTAGGTCAACTTCGGATCATTCGTGTCGGGTTGAGTTGACCCGGACCCGAACAGGACGGGTCAGTTTCGGGTTCGACCCGAACCTAACCCATTGACCCGAATTGACACCCCTAATTTATAGGATGATATGAATGGTAGGAATGAAATTTATGATTGACATATTTATTATTAAAGTTATCTATAAGTGATAGATATAAAATATTAAAATTGTGAGTATAACAAATATTTAAATAGCATGATAGGAAGTGTTATATATATGTAAATCTCCCATAAAATGACTGTGAATGGATTTTCTAGATTAGCCCATTTGATTTTTTGTTAAATACTAACTACTAATTTAAGATAATAATTTGTATGTAATTAATTATGGGCTGAGAAATCGCTATATGAACAAGCAAAAAGAGTATTTTCTTATTATTTTGGGGAGAACATAACATGATCAGAGAACATAGCATGATCAGAGAATAAAATAGATTTTCCTCACAAAATAGTGACATCTTTGGCAATCTCTTCTTGAAAGGCACACAAAGTACTCACCAATTTCTCTTCCTTTGGTTGGGTATCTTAGGCAATCTCACACTCATTGCCATTATAAGTTGTTCTTAGTGCTAGTGGGCTTTTTTTAGTTGGCTTCTAAATGTTGGTAACTTGCTTGAGAATTACTAATCAACTCTAAGGAGTCTCACTTCATAAAGATGTTTGTTTATCCCAACTACTAATGAATTATATGGCTTCAAAAAAGTTATCATCTTTTGTGACGAAGATACGACTCTTGTGTCTATCATAAGGACAAAACCAACGATATCTTCTATAATGATTGATGGGGTGCTAAAAATCATGGTACTTGGATAGGTCTTCATGCTTGAACACTTGTTTCCATGATAGTAAAATCAATCTCATGAAGTGGACTCTGTATTGTATCGGGTTCTGATAATTCATTCTCTTATTATTTTCAGAATAAACACGAATTCTCGCCCAATTTTTTTGGATTAGGTTGGCCAAGATATTTATATAGTCTAAGCCCTATTCAATAAGTCGCTAGCAAATAATTAACTTGAAGTTAGCCCTAAGGACTCAAGTTGAATAAGATCAAATATCATACACTCATCTAAGAAAACTTTCAAAAGTTGTTTTAGGTGTTCTTATTAGTAGAACCCACAATTTCGTTTCCTCATGAAAACACTTAAAGAGACTCACCCTCAACTAAGTTGCTATCCTTGCGTTCTCACTTATTGGATAACTCTTGGTCTCATCCATCACACAACTAATTAATAATAATGGATATTTTTTATGAATTTTTTTTTGTACTTATATCATGCAGCCTTTTATGTGCCATTGATATTGGATCATGTCTATAAATAGGTGGTCTAATTTTAGTTGTGGAGATGGCATGATCTTTTATATTTTTGCTGAAGCTCTATAAAATTAAAGCTAAAATAAAATACTCTTCAAAATCCTTATATTGTGCTCTCTCTCTCTCTCTCTCTCTCTCTCTCTCTCTCTCTCTCTCTCTCTCTCTCTCTCTACGGGAAAACACGGTATTACCGTCGGAGCTTCCGACGGATTTATATTTGTCAGTAACTACGACGTTTTAATCGACGTACTGTGCAACAGAACTATTATGGCGTTATTTTCAGCGGCCTAGGCGTCGGTATTTTTCCGACGTTCGTGACACCGATTTATACGTCGGAATATATAAATATATCATCTAGAGCGGCGTATTTGACGCCGGAAAAAACCGGCGGATTAGTCAGAGATTGCATACCATCATTGCAATGCACCAAGGTTTAAACCAAAATCTGGAAATAAAAAGAAGCATAAGGATGTAACATGACAGGGTTTATGGTTTAGATTCGCAAGCCCAGGCATACGATGGGGATGACCTCTTCTGGATCCAACTTCGCATCCTGTTTATATGAGTCCTTATATAGTAAACAGATAACTGCTCTTCAAGCGGAGCTATAACAAGTAAGAAAATCACAAGCTGATTGACAAGTTCAGTTGCAAGCACAAATACATATGCAGATGCATGAGCAACACAATTATTTGTTAGATGAAATGTACAAAATGAGGGAGCAGTTGAGTGGAAAAGAGGCAGCTCCAGCTAATGATGAATCCACATAATCAGAGTAGTTGTTTAGTTTTTTTAATGTCATATGAACTTGTATAAGTTTTTGAATATTTGGTGTAAATGAACAATTTATGATATTTTTTAACTTTGGTTGATGTTAATGAACAATTTGTAATATTTGCGTTTATGTTTATAAGTATTTGTTAAAGTTCTTGATATTTGTTCTGTGTAGATCTGTGTTGTGGAATAATTATCTGTATATATTTGCTGGTGTGGAAATCTGATTCCTGCCTAGGAAGGCAATTTTTTTTGTTTATGCTACAGATTTTAGGCAGAAAATACGTTGGTATGGCGTCGGAAATGACGATACAAAGAATTATTCGATTCGTTCCGGCGTCCCCTATACGCCACCAGTATTTCCGTCGGATAATGCATCAGCTATCATTCATTACTTTATTTACATCGTCCTTTGCAACGTTTAGTTCGCCGGTATTTCCGGCATATTTATACGTCGAAAATTTCGGCGTATTTAACGTCGGAATAATATAACGAAAAACGACGTAATTGTACATACTTTTTTCGCCGGTAATACGTTGGAAAGTGTTCCGGCGTATTATTTACATCGAAAAGTTTTTTTTTTTACGCGTGCCAAACCGGCACATGAAATTTCGCCGGAAATTCGACGGAAACGTTATATTTCCGTCATATTTTTTGTGTTACTAGTGGATTCGGTCCACCGGTAATGACGGATTTTCCTGTAGTTTCTCTATTTCTCTCTCTGAGCTTGATTCATTTATGTTGTATGGTCCTAGTATTTTGCAAGGGCATTTAAATTCAACAATCACAATCTATCACTATCATGAGTCATTGCCCTCAAGTTATGATTTACACTTAGGCTTCATTTGGGACAACTTTATACGCTTTCTAAAATAACTTTTTAGTATAAAAATTTAAATTCAAGAAAATTTTGTTTTAGAAAGCAAGATGAAAGCCGTCCCAAACGAAGCCTTAATCATTGTTCAACTTAATCATTTCCACCATTACCTCTTATGTAATGTTCTCTATTTTTTTCGCCGGTAATACGTTGGAAAGTGTTCCGGCGTATTATTTACATCGGAAAGTTTTTTTTTTACGCGTGCCAAACCGGCACATGAAATTTCGCCGGAAATTCGATGGAAACGTTATATTTCCGTCATATTTTTTGTGTTACCAGTGGATTCGGTCCACCGGTAATGACGGATTTTCCTGTATGTACGTACTTGTACATACTTTTTTCGCCGGTAATACGCCGGACAGTACGTTGGAAAGTGTTCCGGCGTATTATTTACACCGGAAAATTTTTTTCGACGCTTGCCAAACCGGCACATGGAATTTCGCCAGAAATTCGATTGAAACGTTATATTTCCGTCCTATTTTTTGTGTTACAGGTGGATTCGGTCCACCGGTAATGACGGATTCTCCAGTAGTTTCTCTATTTCTGTCTCTGAGCTTGATTCATTTATGTGGTATGGTCCTAGTGTTTTGCAAGGGCATTAAAATTCAACAATCACAATCTATCACTATCATGAGTCATTGCCCTCAAGTTATGATTTACACTTAGGCTTCATTTGGGATAACTTTCGTATTGCTTTCTAAAATGACTTTTTAATATAAAAAATATTAAATTCAAGAAAATTTTGTTTTAGAAAGCAAGATGAAAGCCGTCCCAAACGAAGCCTTAATTATTGTTCAACTTAATCATTTCCACCATTACCTCTTATGTAATGTTCTCTACTCATTAGTTCGTACTCCACAACATAACCCACTTAGTGCCAAAATATATATCATGTTAAAAAGTAATATAATATTTTGAGAAGCATGAAAATATATTAATAAATAGAAGTTTTAATTTCAATATCAGTTTATATTTTTTTTGTCAAACTTATAATTAATATTATATAGTAATTTACCCACTTAGCTTAATTATTACTTTATTTACTTTTCATCATAAATAAATTATATATATTATTTTATTAAACCTGCTAAAATTTGCATATAACTACTTAATTTTTATTGTTATAACTAATTATTAGACCTATCTATATTTAGTTTCGGTTATTTATTTCAAAAGATGTAATTATATTTCAACATAAATATCTACATGATATCAAAACATTGCAATATTAAAAAAAAAAATTCTAAACTAAAATTTGAAAATCAAATTGAAATTTCTTTCAAGAATATCATATCCCTTTAAA